TGTCCTAAATGAGCCCCTATAATGTACAAACGTGTACACTAGTAAATTTCATTTTGTTTATATGGTGGTTCATTTAGGACTAATGTTCTTCTTTGCTTAGAGCCAATGAAACCTGTCCTTAATATTTCGGAGGTATGGCTTAAAGCTTTCAACACATGTCCTAAATGAGCCACTATAATGAACTATAATGTACATACACTAGTAAATTTCATTTTGTTCTATGGGAGTAAGCCCGGTTTTTACAGCACTAATTAAGTTAACTATTTATTTATATGGTGGTTCATTTAGGACCTATGTTCTTCCTTTTTTTAGAGCCGTCGATAATTCGAGAAACCCGTCCTCAATATTATGACTTAGTGTCCAAATAATGCCTTAAATGAGCCGCTATAATGTACATAAACCAGTAAAAAATTCCATGTTGTTCTATGGGAGTAAGCCTGGTTTAAACTATATCACTAATTAATTCTTAGGAAAAACAGAGCTGTTGGGCATACGAAACTACGTATCTTTCTTACAGTTACATGGAAATAACAAACATGAACGTACTTCACAACCATTTTGAATCTCTTCCTAGAATAAGTCGAATTTTTAAAATAGCTACAATGTTCAACAAAGCCTTCAAATATCATTTAAAGCCATTTCTAAACTTTTAAATGTGATTTGAAGGCTTTGTTTAAATATTCCTGTGTGTTATTTCCATGTAAGAACTATACATATGAGATATTGGTATACAATGGAATTTAACATAAAAAGGCATTGTATAATTTACTGGAAGTACATGTCTATTCTTTAAAAAAAATGTCCATAGGTTTATTCTGTTTAATTGACTAGAAATCAATTCAAATTGAGATCATATAAGACTGTTGCTTTAAGCTATGTATACATAGTACTAGTAAAAATTGACTAAACAGAAAGCATACTTTACAATCAAAATGCCCATAGTTTAGAGGGATTGTAAAAAGGCTTTCTATTTTTTTTATGTGTATCGGGAACACTTATAGCATCAATATACACCATTCAATTTTCAGACGTCTGTGGTTCCTGCAATTCTACTAAAACTTAATGTTTAATGAGGTCACTTATCAGGTTTAATGAGGGTCTTATGCGATAAAGCGTATTTTGTGATTAGTGACATCATCAAACACTTAGTTTTAGTGGAATTGCAGGAACAAAAGACGTCTGATTGTAAATTGGAATGGTGTATACTGATGCTATCAGTGTCTCCGATACACATAATTTTTTTTAGAAAACCTCTTTACAATCCCTTTAAGCACAAAATCTATGGCGGTCGGCTATAGTATATAGATATAGTTATATATTCTAGATTTTAGATTTATTCTAGATATTTTAGATTTATTCTAGATTTTAGATCTATTCTAGACATTTTAGATTTATTCTAGATATTTTAGATTTATTCTAGATTTTAGATTTATTCTAGATTTTAGATTTATTCTAGATTATTAATCTATTCTAGATTATAGATTTATAAAAAACTCATATTGTATTTTCTAGGATATGACATTAAGCTATTATGGATAAAAATTACAAAACAAAACTATTCGTATTATACACTAACAAACAAAAATTACCCAACTAAAAAGGGTTCCTGGGCATGTGTTGTATTTTATCTTTCACCAAAATCCAACTCAGCAAATCTGAAATCTGAAATCTACTCGAATAATTCAGAATTCTTCAGTTAATATGTTAAGATTTTGCCAAAATAAATTGGGTCAGCTCTATACTGAACTGTATAGCTTTTGAATAAATCCATACAAAACTCTGCACTGTTCTTACATGGAAATAACACACACGAATATAATTCAGAACCATTTTGAATGTCTTCCTCAACTTAAAAAAGGCAAATTTTTAAAAAGGCTATAATATTTCAACAAAACCGTCAAATCACATCAAAAGATTTAGAAATAGCTATAAATGTATTTGAAGCTTTGTTGAATTTTTAAAAAAAAACATAACTTATTAAAGGGACAGATGTGAATATTTTTTAGATCAATCATTCTTTAGTCTCAGAAACTGGATTTTTTAGCTTATCTTATCAGTAACAGTGTTCACAGCTCATCATCGAAATTTGAGTCTTCAAATCCATGTATGTCCAGAATTATCTGCGATTGAATGTTAAAATGACGACTCGTCAATTTAAGATACTCTGTGATATATAGAAAAGACATAATATACAGCAAAAGTGAGTAAAATTCTTAGTTTGAAGTATAGTTAAATGAATTATCCGATTTCCGTAAATTTCTAGACTATTAACATATATATTCAAGACTAAAATCAACCTCCCAAAATGCTGCACCTATTCCTTTAAGACGAAATGGTGGTGAACTTTATTTGTGTGTTATTTCAATGTAAAACTATACAACTGTTGAATAAATCTATACATTATAAACAAAACTGAACCAAACAAAAACAAACATTCAAAATGTTTAATAAATGAAAATAAGGGATTCCATCTTTAATAAATGAAAATATGGAATAAAAAGAAATTTAAAGTTTGTAAAAGGATTTATAAAATTGAAGAAGAGGCATAAAGTATGAAAAGGGAAGACCGGAAAATTGCACTAAAAAGGACCAGACCTGTTGTCAGAAAGTTGGTAACTTTTAAAGGGATTGTAAAGAGGTTTTCTAAATTAATAATGTGTATCATGGAACACTGATAGTATCAGTTTACACCATTCCATTTTTCAACCAGACATCTGTGGTTCCTGCATTTCCACTAAAACTAAGTATTTCATGATGTCACTAATCGCAAAAGGGACTTATATGATAAAGTATATTTTCCGATTAGTGACGTCATCTAATACTTATTTTTTTGTAGAATCGCAAGAACCAGAGATGTCTGATTGAAAATTTGAATGGTGAAAATTGATGCTATCAATGTCCCTGATAGTGATACACATAAACAATTTAGAAAACCTCTTTACAATCCCTTTTATCATCATAATTAATATCAATATAAGACAGGCAACTGTGATGTAAATTTCACTCCTCTAGCAAAATATTGTGTTCCTGACAACAGACAATGGAATCTCAAAGAGAGGGTAACAAGGTGGCGCTCAATTGGTGAGTTCTGAACAGGTTCTGTCCTCAATTGAACAGTACGGGAGCAGAATATGTCACATTCAAAATTTCCCATCTATTTCCTTCTCTGCCATTTTGAATTCTGTCTGCACCTGCTATTCTTTCGGCACACATGGGACGCGTTCTGAACTCTGTTCTAGGTTGTTTTATTGAACGCCCAGTCAGGACGTGCAATTGAGCGCCCCCAAGAGATATATAGAGTGATTTTGTACTAAAGGCTATTTACATATTTACATAATGATTTTTCTCATATGAATATTAATGAGAAGGGCTTTCTAATTAGAATTATGATCGAACTTTCGTTTCGTGTTTATCAACTTTTATATTTAACATAGCCACTTCAGTTAGGATCTAGAGACAGCCCTCTTGAACTTTCTTCAAATTAACCTTTTGACCTAATCTGATGACATCTGCTTTAACCAATCAAATTCCTTCACTCTCTCACAAAATACCAGCACTGGCAGAAATTTTCAAATTAAAATGCGAAGAACGTATATATACCATTGTATACAAGATTCCATCATTACAATGTCAAGCTATCATGAAATTCACACTTATACCTTGACAGCAATAGACACCTTTCTTTTGCCAAGTATACAAGATTTCACCGTCACAATGTCAAGCTATTATGAAATTCATACTTATACCTTGACTGCAATAGTCACCTTTCTTGTATCATTGAATTTGTAATTAAAGTAATTTGATTGGATTGTATGCTAGCGAATAAAGCCACTCAGAAGCCTCAAAAGAGAGTCTGTGAACACAAAGTCAAAATGTTTACAGCTTTTCTGTTGAGGCCTCTGATTGGCTGTATTCGAGTACAATCCGATTAAATCGTTATATTCTGTGTTAGAAGAATAGTGTCTATTTCAGTCAAGGTATAGTTATGTATGCTGGAATAATCAAAGCGGCTGATCAAGAAAATTGTGAACCTTTTAATTCCCTGAGGTGTGATTTGAAAGGCAACTGTTTTTAATTTAAATGGTAAAAATTCTACCACTAAAATTCTTTAATTGTTTTAAATTAAAGAGATTGTAAAGAGATTTTCTAAATTTCTTATGTGTATCGGGGACACTGATAGCATTATTTTGCACCATTCCAATTTTCAATCAGATGTCTGTGGTTCCAGCAATTCCACTAAATCAAAGTGTTTGATGATGGAACTAATAACAAAATATGCTTTATCACATAAGGCCCTTCGCGATTAGTAATGTCATCAAACGCTTAGTTTTAGTGGAATTGCATGAACCACAGACTTCAAATTCAAAATTGGAATGGTGCAAATTGATGCTATAAGTGTCCCCAATACACATAAAAATTTCAGAAAACATTTTTACAATCCCTTTAAGGTGCTAAAAGACAAGGTGCAGTGACAAGTTTTGGATTACAAAAATGGATAAGAATAAGATTGATCACGTGGTGAAAAAAGTAACAATATTAGTAATAATACAACATGACACGTGTACTGTTTCTTCAAGGTATACTACCTCTTACGATGACCAAAATTCAAAATTTTTAAACTTGGCCAAAATGAGTTTTTGTTCATCAGTTGACTTCCTGGTGTCATAACTATACAACAGAATCTCTCTATAATCTAATAAATCTATAAAACTAAGTAATAATTCATTAAAATAAGTAATTTTGAAACATGCTTAGAAGTGTATTTCAATAATTATTTAGTTTAATAGATATATCATCTTATATAGAGATTTTATTCTTTAGTCATGACACCTGGTAAGTCTAACTGATGAAATTATACTCTTATTGACCAAGTTTGAGACTTTAAATTTTATGTCCATTCTAAGAGGTAGTATGCCTTTAATAACTGTGATCATTGTGTAAAAACGTTGGGATATTTGGTAATACTATTTACTGTACAATAAGTTCAGGAATCAACCGTTCTAACTCTTGAGTTCTAATCCAGAGAAATCACAGAACCAGGATCTTGGGATCAGATAATCCAAGAAATTATCCTGAAATAAAGAAAATATTTCAATCAGGAAATCTAAAATTATTAACAGAAAGTTTTGAAAAATCCTGCCTCTACTGTTTCTTAAGAACCCTCCAACCCAAGATTGTTAGAAGGTGGCGTTAGACCTGAAGGTTCAAGGTTTAATCCTAGTATAGGTTCGAGATAATACATTCAAATTTTTCAACCCTGTTTCCCCTTGTCAGTGATGCAGGTTGAAGGGGGTGACATGGAAAAAGCATCATGTCGTTCAGATGGGACAATCAACTGAGGCCCTGTGTGCTACAGATTGTGCACGTTACAGATCCCTCAACAGTTTAAAAAAGAGTTGGCTAATGTTGCTGTCCTGTCAAAATTTCTCTCATTGCACACAGCATGAAGTTGCTCGTAGCCCTATTAGGTGCAGAACAGTAGGACGTAAAACTCCATTCATTTCAATTTCATTTTCCAATCCAAGATCTGTCTTGATTAGTGGCACTGTTCTGGAAAAATTTCCCTCATTCCTCATTGCACACAGCATGGCCTTGTCTGTCTTTATAAGCCCATGCGGTGAAGAACAGAAGGACGTAAAACTTCATTCATTTCATTTTCATTTTTCAACCCAAAACATTCCATTAACTGTCTCAAATTTGGAATAAGAATTTTGGTCACCAAGAAATCAAAGAATATTTACCGTAGAAACAGGACAGTTATATCTGGCATACCATTCCATACTATATAAACACATTAATAATCCGGTACCAATAAATAACGCTACCCACATAAATACATTCAAACCTCTAGCTGTACCTTTATCAGTCAAAAATATAAACCCAACTGAAATAAATACACATAGAACTTTATAAGTTAAAAATATAAACCTAACTGAAATAAATATACATAAACCTTTATCAGTCAAAAATATAAACCCAACTGAAATAAATACACATAGAACTTTATCAGTTAAAAATATAAACCCAACTGAAATAAATATACATAAACCTTTATCAGTTAAAAATATAAACCTAACTGAAATAAATATACATAAACCTATATCAGTCAAAAATATAAATCCAACTGAAATATATACACATAAACCTTTATCAGTCAAAAATATAAACCCAACTGAAATAAATATACATAAACCTTTATCAGTTAAAAATATAAACCCAACTGAAATAAATATACATAAACCTTTATCAGTCAAAAATATACACCCAACTGAAATAAATATACATAAACCTTTATCAGTTAAAAATATACACCCAACTGAAATAAAATAAAATGGATCTACATTTTTCTTGTCAATTACCTTCAAATATTAAAAACAGTGATGATCCTTTGCAGTGTGCAAATGGGGAAAATTTAGGGAGATACTTACAGCCTGCTCCGGCAAACATGACAAATAATACTGGGAAGAAGAAACCAAATGTAGCAATCAGAATATATTCATGAAATACAGCCGATAACAAAAACACCATCGCCATAGAAACAGCTCTTCCCCCAATCAACTGTAAGGAGAAAAAGGTGTCTAATACATCTTTAGATTTAATCAAAAGCAAAAAAAAACCTGCTTTTCCATGGAATGAGATCAGTCTGTATCTCATTTCCACTGAGATATGGCATTGTCCATTTTTTTTCTGGAATAACAGGAACCACAGACATAAGGTGATAAATGAGAATCATGCAAATAGAAGTAAGAAATTTCTCAGATACAGAAATAATAGAAAATGAACATGAAAGCCTACTCTTGACATGTACAGCCTATAGAATTGTTCCATCCGAACCACAGATGCTTTATCCATGTTCTTGCATCACTGACAATGGAAAACTAGGTTAAAACATTTGAATGTTTTATCTCTACCTATGCTGGGATTGAACCTTGGACCTTCAGGTTAGCGAGCTAGAGTTTAACTCACTGAACCACCACAGCTCTCTATTAAGAAAAAGAAAAGTTTACTGAATCAATATAAAACTTACATAATAGACATCTTTATAAACGTAGGTATATAACCAATCATGTACAACAACATTCCATGTTCGGTAATAATTAGAAAATGTCGTCGAGTTCCACCAATCCTGTCAACAAAAAATTTATAAAATGAAGAATATTTATTATAGGTCTCACATACATTATCTGTTGTTACTGTAGAATATGGGAGGTGTTACTATGACAACTAAAACACCATAATGTCAGAAAACGAAAATAAGAACTACCATCTAAAATTTCTTTCTGTTTTCTATTAGCTTTTAATTTAGCCACTTCAGTTAGGGTCTAAAGACGGCTTTCTTGAACATTTCCTGGACACTGCCAGCCAATCAAATTCCTTTCCTATCCTATGCTGGGATTTTGTTCTAGCACGTTCTGTTGATTCCATAATATATGGACCATAAATCCCAAATGTGCAGAACTGACAAATCGAGCAGCCCACATGTAATTGTTGCTGGGAAGTAGTTTTAAGTCAACCTCTAAAAAAACTTGCAAAACAGAGTTACCTACCTTATAAAACAAGCGGTCACCAAAACTCAACATTTCAGCAAAAGCATTCAACCACGAATGAAGAATGGCAAAAAAACCTGAAAAATTGAGCATCATATTCTGATTCTATAAGATTGAGTTTTCATTGGAGATTTAAAGGGACTGTAAAAAGGTTTTCCTAATTTTGTATGTGTTTTGGGGACAGTGATAGCATCAATTTGCGCAATTCTAATTTGCAGATTCTATGGTTGCTGCAATTCCACTAAAACTATGTGTTGGATGACGTCGATAATCTTGAAGGGTCTTACATGTTACAAGCATGTCGTGATCAGTGACATCATCAAACACTTATATTTTATGGAATTGCAGCATCCACAGACGTCTGATTGAAAATTAGAATGTTGCAAATTGATGCTATCAATGTCCCCAATACACATACAAAATTAGGAAAACCTTTTTACAATCCCTTTAAGGTATGTCACTGGGAAAATGAGAGATGAGATATTAGTAAATAAACTTGGATCAAGTAACTTACCAATAAACAAGACCAGAGTTCCTGGCAGCATACAGCCGAACACAGAAAGCATAAAACCTTTCAGGGTCACATGGTCTTGGTTGAAGTTTTGGAAAACGGGGACACAGAAGCGTTCGAATATATAATAGATGTAAAACATACAGGCCAATACTTGAGCAAAATTACTGACCACATACTTCCATGAGATCGAGGGAGTTCTGAAATAGATGCCAACATTCCTGTAAGTCTTAGAATTATTCCACAGACAACAAAATCATTTAAACAAATCAAAAACAAAATTCAAAGTGTGCAAGTTGATTCAAAGTTCCATGTCAAATCAACAATTTGCTTTAAGTTCATACTGTTTTAAAAGGATTGTAAAGAGGTTTCCCTAAGTTTTTTATGTATGTTGGGGACACTGATAGCATCAATTTTCATCATTCCCATGTTCAATCAGACGTCTGTCATTCCTGCAATTCCACTTTAACTAAATTTTTGATGATATCACTAATCATAAACTATCCTTTATCATATAAAATTAGCGACGTCATCAAAAACTTAGTTTTAGTGGATTTGCAGGAACCACAGACATCTGACTGAAAATTGGAATGGTACAAATTGATGCTATCAGTGTCCCTGATACACATAAAAAAAACAAAAAACGTTTTTTTCAATCTCTTTAAACTGAAATGAAGATATGGAATCTCTGAAAGTTGCCAAGAAAAGAGACAGAAATTTATATTCTTACCTAGGATAAGAGTCTTGGTAGACCAAAGTTGGAGCAAATAAAAAATATAAATATTTAGAAAAATCTGGGAATCCATTTTCAGTCTCATCTGCAAAAAAAAAATCAGAAGAGCATTTAGGGGAGGGCGGTAGTGTCACGTACAGTGTTTAGAATATAGTAACAGATGTAGACAATTAGACAATTTCAGTTTTAATATTGATTTTAAGTTGAAATAACAGACTTGGTCTTTTATCATTTCCTGTGAAAGGGCACATTAGAGCTGGCACTATATTTCTTAATCTTAGAGAATTTTCTCTCCTACTTATTCTGAAGGTTTTAACTAATAACATCAAGCCATTATAAAGCCAATCACCAAAACTATTTCAAACTGCTTAATTAACAATTAGTACTCTCCGTTTTTAATTAACCCTTTTAAAACAAATTCAGTTAGATCAAGAAGATACATAAATAAAAATAGCATACTTTAGAAATATTTTCACGTTTTTTGTAATGGAAATTTTGCATACTGCCTCTTTAAATAATAATATATTTACCTTCTTTTTTGAAGTTTAATATTCGAGGTATGTTGGAACGAACGAAAGCATGAGTTTTCATCATCAAACGTAGCTGAAATGAATATTTTTTTTTAGTGATACTACGTCTTAGAATGAACATAAAATTTAAGTTCTCAAGAATGGTGTCATAAAGTTACAACAGAATCCCTGTAAAATTTGGAAAATTAGAAAATTGATAAGTGATTATTGAAAAAGGCTTAATCTTAATATTGTCTAAATTGAACTCTGCTGTGAAACTCTACTGAATAACAGTATAAAATATAAAAGCCTCACCTGTTCACAAGTGATTATAATGGATGATGTTGGTGGAAATTTATATTCAAATAAATAAGTCAATGGTAATATTGTAAAACTGATCATATAGATGATATAAACACCTAGCCATAGATAGTCCCATAGTCCTAAAATATTAAAAAAAATATATATTAACACCTAGCCATAGATAGTCCCATAGTCCTAAAATATAAAAAAAAATATATATTAACACCTAGCCATAGATAGTCCCATAGTCCTAAATATAAAAAAATATATATTAACACCTAGCCATAGATAGTCTCATAGTCCTAAAATATAAAAAAAAATATATATTAACACCTAGCCATAGATAGTCCCATAGTCCTAAAATATAAAAAAAATATATATTAACACCTAGCCATAGATAGTCTCATAGTCCTAAAATATAAAAAAATATATATCAACACCTAGCCATAGATAGTCCCATAGTCCTAAAATATTAAAAAAATATATATTAACACCTAGCCATAGATAGTCCCATAGTCCTAAAATATAAAAAAAATATATATTAACACCTAGCCATAGATAGTCCCATAGTCCTAAAATATAAAAAAAATATATTTTAACACCTAGCCATAGATAGTCCCATAGTCCTAAAATATGAAATATCATATATAAATACCTAGCCATAGATAGTCTCATAGTCCTAAAATATAAAATATCATATATTAATACCTAGCCATAGATAGTCTCATAGTTCTAAAATATAAAATATCATATATTAATACCTAGCCATAGATAGTCCCATAGTCCTTAAAATATAAAATAATATATATTAACACCTAGACATAGATAGTCTCATAGTTCTTAAAATATAAAATAATATATATTAACACCTAGACATAGATAGTCTCATAGTTATTAAAATATAAAATATATATAAAAGAAAAGAAAATATAAATTATACACATTAACACCCAGCCATAGATAGTCCTGTAATTCTCAGAATATAAACGCCTAGCCATAGATAGTACCATAGTTCTTAAAACATAAACACCTAGCCACAGATAGTCCCATAATGCTTAAAAAATAAACACCTAGCCATAAATATTCACATATTTCTTAAATTATTAACACCTAGCCATAGATAGTCATCAGTTCTTAAAATATTAACACCTAGCCATAGATAGTCCAATGGTTCTTAAAATATTAGCACCTAGCCACAGATAGTCCCATAGTTCTTAAAATATAAACACCTAGCCACAGATAGTCCCATAGTTCTCAGTGTATTAAAGAATATATATACATATAAAGACCAAGCCATAGATAGTCTCATGGTTCTTAAAATATAAACACCTAGCCAGAGATAGTCCCATAGTTCTTAAAACATTCAAACCTATCCATAGTCTCATAGCTCTTGAAACATTCAAATCTATCCATAGTCTCATAGCTCTCAAAACATTCAAACCTATCCATAGTCTCATAGCTCTTTAAATATTCAAACCTATCCATAGTCTCATAGCTCTTAAAACATTCAAATCTATCCATAGTCTCATAGCTCTTTAAATATTCAAACCTATCCATAGTCCCATAGCTCTTAAAACATTCAAATCTATCCATAGTCTCATAGCTCTTTAAATATTCAAACCTATCCATAGTCCCATAGCTCTTAAAACATTCAAATCTATCCATGGTCTCATAGCTCTTTAAATATTCAAACCTATCCATATTCTCATAGCTCTTAAAACATTCAAATCTATCCATAGTCTCATAGCTCTTTAAATATTCAAACCTATCCATAGTCTCATAGCTCTTAAAACATTCAAATCTATCCATGGTCTCATAGCTCTTTAAATATTCAAACCTATCCATAGTCTCATAGCTCTTAAAACATTCAAACCTATCCATAGTCTCATAGCTCTTTAAATATTCAAACCTATCCATAGTCTCATAGCTCTTAAAACATTCAAACCCATCCATAGTCTCATAGCTCTTTAAATATTCAAACCTATCCATAGTCTCATAGCTCTTAAAACATTCAAACCCATCCATAGTCTCATAGCTCTTAGTATAGACGTCAATAAGTATAAACACTATCAAAATTCACAATTATGTAGTTTATTCTTCTTACCAATCTAGTCGTCCTGATGAGGATTAAATATCCTAAACACAAGTATAAAGATACAATTAAACAGATACTTACTGGCTTTGCCTGGTGTTCTAGAATTGGCCCAGTGATAAAAAACAGGATAAACAATAACAGTTGTGGAACCTTTCATGCACAGCCACAGAGCTATCACTTTAGGAAACTGACCAAAATTCCACTGAATTAAGGCAAAGTCCAAAACTGGCCTGTAACAAACATGGGCAGGTAATTAGGTATAACGGCTTGAAAGCTGATACTGGGCTGACTCTCAAAGGTACAGGCATTGGAATTTTTCTTACATTAAGGAGGATTCGAACCTACGGCATCTAATCGCCTAAAACACTACAATCCAACACGCTACCAACTAGATAGTTTTCAAATTCACGAAAAATGTTGCAAGTAATAAATATAGGGATCAACAGATTACAATTTTATTTCGTGATTATTTTTTGTTTATTCAGTCTCCTTTGCAATCTAACGAGATAAATACCAGTAGTCAATTACACACCGCTCTCCAGCCAATCAAAATCACTTTTACAAGCGAGTATCAGCAGTCTCATAACTCTACTTTGGGTTTATACAAATTTGCAGTCGACATTTAGACATTGATTTTGAATGGCGCACTGTGATTGGTTGAAATCAATGTTAACAGTACAAGACCTTGGCATAAATCTCATTAGATTACAATTGACACAGAAAACAAAAAAAGAAAATCATAATCTAATTTTAAAGGTATACTACCACTTAGGATGACCAAAATTGAAGTTTTAAAATTAAGTTAAAATGAGTCTTTGTTCATCAGTGGACTTACCTGGTGTCATAACTATACAACAGAATCTCTCTATAATCTAATAAATCTATAAAACTAAGTAATAATTCATTAAACTAAGTAATTTTGAAACATGCTTAGTTTAATGAATATATCGTCTTATATAGAGATTCTATTCTTTAGTCATGACACCTGGTAAGTCCAACTGATAAATATATAGGCCTACACTCATTGACCAAGTTTGAGGTTTTTAATAACAGAAATCTACTAACCTGCCTGTATGAATCCAATCATGAATAAATGTATTGAGAGAAAAAACAATTAAAATAGCAACAAAAATATGATAAATGGTTCGGATGTGATTGACTTCAAATAATTCACTGAAATTAGACAAAAAATAAATGATCTAAAACAGATTCACCATTTTGGGGGTTGATTTGGGTCTTGACTAATTGTAAAGTCCTCAGAAGTAGTAGAAATGTACCAAAATCACAAAATTCTTTCACAAATACTTCAAACTAGGAATTTCAATCTGTATATGTCTTTTCCATATATGACAGAGTCTCAAGAAAAGACGAGTCATCATTTTAACTTTTAAACGCAGATAATTCAGGATCTTATAAACGTTAGATTCTGGGGGCCTAGGGCAGCCCCAATCTTAACTAAGGGGGGTGAAGGGAAGGCGGTGCCCCCTGGAGATATATTTGTCCCCCACAACTTCCCCTGCAAAATTAGAACAAATTCTTAATTGAACCTGAAATCAATCTCTATCAGCTATTTTGCTCCCCCTGAAAATGCGGCCGCCCCCCTTAGGCACATTGGGCTGGTTACGGGCCTGCACTCCACTGGTTAAAACAAAGTATAAATAAGAACCAACCTTAAAACAGATCTTCTATTAACAAATATTTTATCAGGCAGTTCGCCATTTTTTCTTTTTTTACTGTAAATAAGAAAAGAATATCAAAATTTAATCAAATAAAATTAAACACATCAAAAACAAACAACAATCTAATTCAAACTAGACCAAACTTTTATTCCGTTTTTTATTAGCTTTTATTTTTAGAATACTGAATAGCCACTTCTGTTAAGGTCTAAAGACGGCCTTCTTCAACATCTGAATACACCTTTTGTTCACATCACAAAACCTCAGCATTGGAGAGAGCAGAAATTTGATTGGCTGGCCGTATCATCTAGCCGACGAATGCTCAAGAGGCCCGTCATTAGACCCTAACTGAAGTGGCTATATTAAAAATAAAAGCTAATAAAAAAAAATGAACGAAAGTTTGGTATAATTTAAATAAGACTGAAACAAACAACTTCAGGAATGAAAAGTTTCCATATTTTTTCTATAAGCCCACTATACAAAACCTCATCAATTCATTTCTTTAATTGATAATGTCTTGTTTACATTTAATCTATAATTTATTGTAAACTTTATATAAAGAACTTTTAAAAAAAATAAATTCTGTGCTTCCTTAACCATTTGAACCTAAACAAAAAAAAAAAGTTAAAACCAGAAGAGATTAATGATTAGGATTAAACTCAAACTTTTAACAAGCTGGAACAAAACAAGGTGCAACCCTTTTAAAGGTAACCTACCTCTTGGAATGACTTAAAAATTGAAATTTTTAAACTTTGTTAAAATGAGTCTTTGTTCATCAGTGGACTTACTTGGTGTTATAACTATACAACAGAATCTCTCTATAATCTAATAAATCTATAAATCTAAGTAATAATTCATTAAACTAAGTAATTTTGAAACATGCTTAGAAGCGTTTTTCAATAATTATTTAGTTTAATAGATATATCATCTTATATAGAGATTCTATTCTTTAGTCATGGTACCTGGTAAGTCTAACTGATGAATATATACTCTTATTGACCAAGTTTGAGATTTTAAATTTCATGTCCATTCTAAGAGATAGTATTCCTTTAAATAATTCACATCTGATTACAATACAGCTTTAAATTTCATTCATATTTTCATTATCTAAATTAGACCACTTTTTCGTTCTGTTTTTATAAGCTTTTATATTTAAGTGAGCCACTTCAGTTAGGGTCTAAAGACAGACCACTTGAACATTCGTCCTATTAACCTTTTGACCTAATCTGATGACATCTGCTTTAACCAATCAAATTCTTTCCCTCTCTCACAAAATCCCAATTCTGAAGAGGGCAGAAATTTGATCGGTTGAAGCAGGGGTCATTAGGTTAGGTCAAAGGTTATTTTGACAAACGTTCAAGAGGGCTGTTGTTAGACCCTAACTGAAGTGGCTATATTAAAAATAAAAGTAATAAAAAACAGAATTTAACCACAGTATCAAACATTGAAAATATAACAAAGACTTTGTATATTAATCAGATTGAAATCATCCCAAAAAATATTTATCCCTGGTGGAGATCAAACTAAACATAAATTATGATGAAAACAGGGGCAAGATTTAAACTTTCACTGGCATGCTCTCTACCCACTTCATGGCATCCAATCATGTTTAAATTCACAGTTTAACAAGTTGGAAACATAATCGATTATAATCAAATATAGGGATTGTAAAGAGGTTTACTAAATTTTTTTATGTGTATCAGGGACACTAATGGCATCAATTTTACACTGTTTAAGGTGATGTGACTAATCGCAAAGGGCCTTTTGTGATAAAGCATATTTTGCTATTAGAGGTGTCATCAAATAATTAGTTTTAGTGGAATTGCACGAACCACAGACGTCTGATTGAAAATTGGAATGGTGCAAATTGATGATATCAGTGTCCCTGATACACATAAAAAAATTTAGAAAACCTCTTTAGAATCTCAAATGTCTAGTCCAAAATGACCATATTTTTAAAGTATTCACAATGAAAGTTTACAAAAAAATCACTGGAGTGAATTATGTTTCCAACTTGAGACTGGGAAATAGTGACTACCTTAAAGGTCAAATTTCCCAGAATTCAATACCTACGTCTTGTGTTCTTTTATCAACTGATTAATCCTTTAAACATCAACAAAAATATAAACAATAACAAAACAACAAACAATTTAACAGTACAAACATTCTGAGACCAGTCAGATATAGTAGAGAATATGTAAAAACACTTTAAACTGAACTGTAGGGTGTCGCTTGATGATTTTCTCAAGATCGTCCAGTGTTATATCTCTCTAATACAAACTAATTAAGATAGCTTGCCAGGCAATGTAATATACGCCCACTACCCGCTGTCAGATATGATAACAAAACCTTTAGTGGCTTAATAATGAATTCTCAAAAACAGTCATTCAAATTATCATCAAATTCCAACATGAAAAAGGTTTTACTGACATACACACAAGGGCAATAACTCTGAAACTGTTCATCTGATTATTACCAATTTCGAACTTGGCTGAGATATCATCAAAATTTTTCAAGGTCAAGGGCAATAACTCTTAAACTGTTCATCCAATTATTACCAATTTCAAATTTGACTGAGATATCATCAATATATACATGCATACTAAGTTTCATCAAGATCGGAATAAAACGTTAGCCTATATCATGCTTACAAGTCAAATTGGACAAAATTTTTCAAGGTCAAGGGCAATAACTCTTAAACTGTTCATCCAATTATTACCAATTTCAAACTTGACTGAGATCTCAACAATATCTACATGCATACTAAGTTTCATCAAGATCGGAATAAAACTAAAGCTTCTATTGTGCATACAAGAAATGTGGACGGATGGACAGATGGACGGACGGGCCGACGGACAGGGGGCAATATTTCCATATGGATGTTTTAAAATCAGATTTCAATTCTGTTTCGTTATTATTTTTCTCCATTATGATCTAAGAAGATTTATATCAAGGTCCTGTACAGTTAACGTTCAATTCAACCAATCATTCAGAATCCATGTCTGTATTTCGACTGAATTGTTGGGACAAGGAACAAAAAAAATAATGAAACAAAATTGTAATCGAATTTGAGTAAGATTGAATCCAAACTAAAATAAATGAAGACTAGGCTTACCTTTGATTAGCAGACTGAAAATTATGATATTTTTGATCTTTAGGTTGTTGTTCTATTCTTTCCACCTCCGTAACAAACGAATCAAATAATTCATCTAACTGTACGCTTAGATTGGACATCAAATCTGTCTTTAAACTCTATAAATACAATCACTATATTATCATAAAACTCTTTGATACCATTTAGGAACCAAATATGTACACTAGTTAAAAGGATTGTAAAGAGGTTTTCCAAATTCTTCAGGTGTACCACTACAAGTTCCAGATTTCTTTGGTTCTTGTAATTACACCAAAACTAAGTGTTTGATGATGTCACTGATTGCAAAATATGCTTATTAAACCCTCGCAATTAGTCACATCATCAAACACTTGGAAATTTGAATGTTGCAAGTGTCGCCGATATTTTTTTCCCTACATAACAATGTAAAGTCTTTCATAAGTATCATCCTAAGAATATCTTTCTTAAAAATGTAAAAAATTTATTCTTGTAAAAAAATATTAATAATTTGACCAACCTGTGCTTGATCTCTAATCTTCTGTAAATTTGGGGTAAAATTCTGTTGTTGAAGATTTTCGTTTTGTTCTGAAAATAAAATTAAGATTTAAATACAAATTCTCTCATTTTTGGTATATAGTTTTCATAAATTTGAGCCAAAAAATATTTCAACCTATGTGTTTTTTTAATGGCCCCTTAATATATGTACTGTAGAAAGGCATCAGAGTTTCTAATTATAATTAAGACCAAACCTTGATGGCTGTTTTTGACTCTGGTATACAATACTGTATCATGAAACATGATTGATTCAAGTTAGTTCATTCAATTTAAAATCAGTATTCTGATAAACAATGTCTATCTCTGGTTATCTTTAGGACAACATGACCGAGATAAGCAATTTTGGTATCAAAATGGAAAATTCTTGTTATCTTATCTTAAACAATCTACTTGAATGAAAAACAAAAACCTGAATGTTTGCTTCATTATCCATTCTGTTTTGTACCAACACTGATAACTTTATCATGTCAGTCTAGTTAAAATCAGGCCAAACTTTCCTTGCGTTTTTTTTAGCTTTTATATATTCTGTAGCCACTTCAGTTAGGGTCTAAAGACAGGCCTCTTGAACATTTATCACAATAACTTTTGACCTAACCTGATGACCTCTGCTTTAACCGTGTTCAATATACCTGAAAGCCCAGAATATGTAAGCTTAAAGGGAATTTTTGTTAATGTGTATCAGGTACACTGATAGCATCAATTTGCACCATTTGTGTTTGATGTCACTTATTGAAAATTGATGCTATCAGTGTCCCTGATACATATACAAAAGTTAGAAAACCTTTTTACAATCCCTTTTAATCTGCTGTACGTGGTGTTGAATACATACATCTAATCAATAAAGTTAGTAAATTTTCAACGCAATAGTCTAGATATTGATATCTTGATGTAATTACATAACAGTGTCCTACTTAAACATACCTACATTTTATCACAATAGCTAAACATAATAGGAGACATTAAAATGAGTTAGACAACTTGTAAACATATTAAGGGGAGAATTCAGTTATTTTTTCTTTGATGGGTCATTTATAAACCGAACCATCTGCCTCTATTCCAGCATTTTTTCTTTGATGGGTCAATTATAAACTGAACCATCTGCCTCTATTCCAGCTATTTTGAAAGTTGTCAGCTGGTGTACAGACAGAAAAACTAGGCCCTGTTTTATGGCAATTTTTCCACGCATCTGAAGGTGCAGGTTTTTTTTTAACCTATTTAGATACCTTGGATCTGCAGGGGCTTTAAACCTATTCATATTAATGATCTGCCAATCCAAGATATTCAGAAAGATGAATATTTTTGTTGTTCAGTTATATCATCATACTTTCCATACATCATTTATCTCGCCTGCCTGCGCAGCCACAAGTACAGGGCTTAGTTTTCTACACCAACTGACAACAGTCAAAATATTTATCAGAGGCTGGAATAGAGGCAGATATTTCAGGCTTAATGATTTATCAAAACAAATAAGGAAAAAAAAAAAAAAAAAACAGAAAGTCAGTTACATCTCTAGCTTCATGTCAAATCTAAGAAAGAAATTTGATAAAATAATCAAAGAAAGAAATAGTAATAACTATATTAATATTACATAATTTTGTATAACATTTTAGTGTCAAAATAGAACAGATTCAAACAGTCAATAGTCATACCCATTTTTTTGATATTCACTTTAATCTATCAAATCATTAAATTAGATTTCTATAATCCAATTGATATACACTTCTATTGATATTAGTAGCAGCTGATCAATGACTCACTTTTCATCAAGTGTGAAACGTGTCGCTAATCGGAAACTGAGTGACGAAATTAATTTGGCTGTAACATGTAAACAACTTGGATTTTCGTAATTTAACATCACATATGTACAACTATCTAATCGCAGAGTTTCATAGGATTGTAAAATAATAGCTAATTATTTATTTTCACACCATAAAGAAAATTTAGCTCACCATGTTGCAACCCTCCATTAGAAAAACGATGTCGACTTTCAAAATCGTCAACTTCCTCCGCCATTTTGACTAATTTCTTGTCACGTGATTAAATTTTGTACCCTATCAACCTTTAAAATAGAAGAGTAAAACATGGTTGAAGGCTTCAGACCACAAATATATTAATTGATTGTCACACATCTATACTGTCATCTGATTTACATTAACAACATTATTTTTTTCTCCCTTTATGTTATGTATTACTATTATTTCCACGATTACTATCTTTGAATTGAAACCCAATGAAATGAACCAGACCAGGTAGGTTACGTAATGTATAGTGTTACATAAATTATTTATAACTCTATGGGTATAGGCCATTGGTATATATTCATGAAGTAGCCTATTATTATATATCTCTATTATATTGGTATATTCGATATTTGACATCATAAGGCTATCTCGCGAAGTTGTTCTAGAATAACAAGCCCCACAGACGTCGGAAAGGATATTGTATGGCCAAACTATAGAGCTATTATAGTTTCCATATATAGGCTCATAGCGAGCTAGCTTAAAATGGAAGAGTAAAAGTTGGTTTAAGGCTTCAGACCACAAATATATTAATTGATGGACACACATCATTACTACTGTCATCTGATTTTCTCCCTTTATGTTATGTACTATTTCTATTATTATATCGAAACGAAACTAATAAAATACGAACGGAGTTTTACGTCCTACTTTTCTGGACCATGTGAACTAATGAAGACGGGCAATGCCATTCAGGTTACAATGAGGGAAATTTTGCCAGGACAGCGGTATAACCGTGCTCTTTTTCAAAATCCAATTGTCGAGGGATCTTTAACGTGGACTGCACACACTGGGCCTCGGTTTAATGTCCCATACGAACGACTTCCTGCATCACTGACGGGGAAAATCCGAAGGTATTATCTCGACCTATGTCGGTATTTAACACTGGACCTTCAGGTTAGCGACCAACTCACTCAATGAGACACCACGGCTCCCTTTATCATTTTCAAGAGAAGTATTCAAAATAAGATTAATAATGAGCAACAATCACAAATCTGTTCTATCACACGATATGTAATCGAGGATTAGTATAGCATAGGTTATCCTTGTCCCATCCACAATTCTAGATCTCCCCAACCCCTCTTCCCGATACTCATAATATATACATAGGCCACACAAACTTAAACCCTCTAAATTCTTTAAATTAGTAGTATGTCGTCTGTGTTTGTACCAAAAGTTCGTCTGGCCACGCGAGATGATAGCGATGAAATTTATCGTCTGCTGCTCGTAAGTTTTTTTTTTGTATTTTTCGTAAACGAATTACTCGCTTTGACGTCAACTAGATTTAGATATCATACAATATAGGGACATGCAAACAGGACTGAACCAGGACTGGTGTTTTGCCTGTGGCAATTATTATTTTTTTTAACTTTTAATTATCTGTTCAAATCTGCCTGATCTCTTCAGAATTGGCCCCATTTTTACCCGATTTTTTCTACAATTATTGCATCATTGTAAGAGATCCTGCTTACGCTTTCTATCTGTGCTGCAGACCCGTAGCCAGACTGGATTGTTTGGAGGGTCAAGTAATATATCAAGAGGGGCAACGATGTATGGTGTTTAGTTGCAGTAATGGAATTGGTCGACTGTCAGAATTTTTTCAGGGGGATAATCTATTTCTTTTGTTATTCTTGATCTATTGTAGGAACTGGCCGAGTTTGAGAAATTAAGAGACGCTATTCACATCACAGCCGAAGGTAGGTTTACCCGAAACTCTATATATGTTTAATCCCAACATCCCAACTGTTCTAGTTAACTGTATTGATGAGAAATTTATATTGTAATGGCTATAGGTTTAAGTTTTCTGTTTCCGTTTTCAGAATTCAAGGAGGATGGATTTGGTGACATGAGTTGTTTCCGTTGTTTGGTTGCTGATGACGTCACAGCAGGTATGTTAAAGAAAATGCGGTTTAAGAAAGCATCACTATTTGGCTTCCGTTTGCTTTATTCGAGATCATTGGGATTCGACCAATGTTTTATGTTCAAGGGATTGTAAGGAGGTTTTCTAAACTTGTTTTATGTATCAGGGACACTGATAGCATTAAATTGCACCATTCCAATTTTCAATCAGACGTGTCTGGTTCCTGCAATTCCACTAAAACTGATAGCATCATTTTGCACCATTCCAATTCTGCCATTTCACTAAAACTAAGTGTTTTTGTTACTAATCGCAAAATATGCCTGAATCACATAAGTTCATTTTCGATTAGTGACGTTATCAAACACTTAGCTTAAGTAGAATTGCAAAAACCAATTTTAGGAAAACCTCTTAACAACTCCTTGTTGTTTGAATTTCGTTTCGTAATATTTCTAATTTGTACATCTGAAAGAGAAAACATTTTTTTTATCTATTACAGACGGAGCAGAAGTACCAGGGAGACTGATAGGCCAGTGTACTTTTTATTCAGCATATTCCTCAAGAACAGGGCGGACTATGCAACTAGAGGATATATACGTCACTCCCAAATGGCGAAGTAAAGGTATCGGGCATGAACTATTTAAAGGGGTATGCAAGGTAAAACATTTATTTTATTTTCGTTGCAGACTTTAGTTTTTTTCCTTTTAAATTTCTTATTTTTTGATGTTATAAATATGTATACTTATGATGTTATATAAATATGTTAAAAATATGTATATTTATTGATGTTATATAAATATGTATATTTATCGATGTTATATAAGTATATTATAAATATGTATATTTATGATGTTATATAAATATTTATATTTATATATAATATTTATATAAATGTATATTGTTGATGTTATATAAATATGTTATAAATATGTATATTCACGATGTTATATAAATATGTATATTTATGATGTTATATAAATGTATATATTTGATGTTATATAAATGTGTATATTTATGATGTTATATAAATGTATATTTTTTATGTTATATAAATATGTTATAAATATGATGTTATGTAAATAGTTATATTTATGATGTTATATAAATATTTATATTTATGATGTTATGATAATGATTATGTTATCACGGCAAATAGGAAGTAAGATAAAGGATATCTTGGCTATTCACACGAGATCTCGTTGATAGAGAAATGACATTAGTGCTATTCAAATGCTTAAAGGGATTTTTTTATGTGTACCGGCGACATTGATAACGTCAATTTGCATCATTCTAATTTTCAATAAGACGTTTGTGGTTCATGCAAAGCCACAAAAACTAAGTGTTTGATGACATCACTAATCGCGAAGGGTGTTATGTGTTAAAGCATATTTTGCAATTACTCACGTCATCAAACACTTAGTTTTAGTTGAATTGCAGGTGCCACAGACGTCTGATTGAAAATTGGAATGGTGCAAATTAATGCACGAAGCGAAACGTCTAAAATTTACTTACAATGATCCAACTTGCTAAGTCAAAATGTCACTTGATCATGAAATTCTTAACAATTAAGTGAGTCACTTCAAAGAAAATTTAGTCATTGTTGGTTCTATACAGCTTTATATATCAATAATTTCAGATAGCTGTGAAAGAGAACTGTTCGAGTATGACCTGGGAAGTTTTGGGCTGGAACAAGCTAGCTCGACAGTTTTATGATGAACGAGGAGCCTACAATAGGAAATCACGGTATGGAACAGATCTGTGGGCAATGGATCTACCCGAACTACAGGCATTAGTTTTTTCGTAATCACATACAAATCACCAATCGACCTGTAGTCTTATTCTTGAAAACTTAACTTATGATTTTAGTATTCCAGTCATCTGATTGGTTTATCACTAAAATCGAGTTTAAATTTAGTTTTGTTATCCAATCAGATATTTCCTAAAATCTGTATTTTATGTTAAAGGGATTGTAAAGAGGTCTCAGAATTTTGTATGTGTAACTGACACACTGGCAGCATCGATTTACACCATTCTAATTTTCAATCAGACATCTGATTTTTAGTGGAATTGCAGGAAACCCAGAGGTCTGATTGAAAATTGGAATGGTGCAAATTGATGCTATCAAAGTTCCCAATACATATGTACAATCCCTTTAAGGTAAATTTTGGAAAATAAAGCCCCGAGATTTCATCATTGTTAATGTTTGTAATTCTCGAGTGATTCAGCTTTCCGTAGTAAAATTTCAACTAATGAGGATTATTCAATTTGCAGCGTTCTGTCATTACTCATATTTGTACATATGGAGTAACCATAGCAACAACACATATATTGACGCCATTCTGCAGCAATTAATTTTCTTGAATCAGTAATAAACCATTCTTTGTTATAATTATAAACATGTAATTGTAAACATCACTTATTCCACGCTGCGATTGAGTTCGTGTCCTGCTTTGAGAGTGGTTGAACCAAGGCCACGGGCCTAGTGGCTTTTCTACTGGGGGGGGGGAGGGAGGGGGGGAGGGGGGAGGGGGGGCATGGGGGTAGGTGATGGTCCACCCAGAAAAGAGACTCGTTCGGCTTTGCCCTCCACTTTCAAATTTTTTATCATATTACGTAGTGAAAGAATGGTCTGTACCCCCCCCCCTCTTTTTGTGGCCCTTCTCGGCCCTCTTACCTAATGTTTCCTTAAAACGCCACTGCAGCAGGAGAGCATATGTTTGGAAAACCAATTCCCGCGATGGGGGCCCCAACCAACTTCAGTCAACGGGCCCTCACTCATCTTGACCCACTGGGAACTGTCCACCATGTATCCAATAATAAAAATCAGCACAAGCAAGACACCACCGTTTATCAAAATCTCTTCCAAAGTATAGCAAAATCGGGAGTAAAATTTGTATCGTAGTGGACTCCTTGAAGGAGAAGAACCATCAGGTGTTTTGATCGTTTAGAAATTGTTTATAAAGTAATCAGATTTGTCAATCTATTACATTGTTCAGCGAGTCCACATAGCTAAAAAAAAAAAAAATCTATTCAGTATTGAGATTGGCAAAACAGGTTCCGATTCGGAGTATATGTTTACTTGATATTTTGCATCATGTTTTGTATCATATCATTCTCATAGAGCGAGTAAGTGTCATTGTAAACAGTTTAATGGTTTAAAGAGACAAGTTCGCCATTTTCGGGGGTTGATTTGGATCTTGAATATGTGTAAATAGTCTTCAGAATTTCTTGGATTAACGAATTTCTTAAAACATTGAGAATTTCTCTTTCTATTTCTGTCTTATTTAGTGTGTTTCAAGAAAAGACGAATCGTCATTTTAACTGTCAACGCGGATATTTCTGGACAAAGATGGATTTGAAAGCTCAAATTTTGACGGTGAGCTGTGAACACTATTACTGATTAGCTTAGCTAAAAAAATCCCGTTTCTGAGACTAAGGTACGATTGGTCAAACAAATGGCGAACCTATCCCTTTAAACATTTCAATTAAATTCTGTGTGTAGTGTAGAAGGAGTTGACACAAGGAATATTACATTGTATGTATTAACAAACCGATTACCAAGACAAATAATAAGAAAAAAAACCCCAATAAGCTCGATATTTACAGAAATATGGTTTCTGTAACGAAGCATAAATTGATATTCATACTACCAAAATAGAAACTAACTCATACAATAATATACAATCAAACGTGGCACAGTCTAATTAAAATTAGACCAAACTTTCGTTCCGTTTTTTTTATTAGCTTTAATTTTTAATAAGCCACTTTGTTCGGGTCTGAAGACGGGCCTCTTGCAATCTAATTAAAATTTTCCTTTTTTCTTATTAGCTTTAATTTTTAACATAGCTACTTCAGTTAGGGTCTAACGACAGTCCTCTTGAACCAATGAACGTTCGTCAAATTAACCTTTTGACCTAACTCTATGACATCTGCTTTAACCAATCAAATTTCTACATTCTCCAGCTCTGGGAGCCTGTAGGTTGGCGCCTCTCTCCTGGGAAAAATTTTAACACAGGCCTCCTGTATTTGTATTCTATATTCAGGTAGGGCCCGTGGACATAATACAACCAGTCCCTATGGTAGTTAGTCACTGACCTGTGTATATAAATAGTGTTTAAAAATAGATCAACTGCCAAAATACAGTTTTAACATCGAGATCAGAAAATAGAAATAGTTAAATATCATTTTAAAAAGGGTTAATTTTATTTATTTTACAATGACAATTTCTACATAGAATTACTATTTTGAATTAAAAATCAACACAAAACCTCAAAGTAAAAAAAATATATTAAAGAAGCAAAATTATCAAAAACAGTTGAAGCTTTTTGAATTTTTTTATTTGTATGATTTTAAACACCAGTTAGTGTTTGATTAAAGTCGAACGTGAATGAATTATGAATTAATTATGGACATGTGAGACAAACTGGTATTTTTCCAAGTCATTAGAACACCTCTTCTTTCTATTCATATAAGTATTAGCATTTTCATTTCCATAAATGAAAATAAGGAAACCCATCTTTAAAACTCTTTTTTGTAGAATCGAACACTGTCTTTTGTATCATTTTGAAAACCACTTAGCGTTGATTAAGATCGAACTTGACAAAAACACAGGGTTTAGTAAATTATTATAGAATCAGTGAGGATTGAAATTGGTCCATAATACACTCTCATGATTATATTACTTAGCAATAACTACAAACATACATTATTCAACAAAAAAACAATAAAACTCTGTATGGTCTAATGGACGACTTGATTACAAATTAACCCTTATACTTATATCGTCTGTATTATGCATTATAGTTTCAAAATCATCTATAGCGGGTATTCATTTCCAACTTAGATTAATTATCAAGAGGTTTAAGATTATACCTTGATGTTATTCGGCAACCTTTGACAATTTCCGTAAAGCTGAATCTGACTCGGTAATAAAGCCTTTATAAGATAAATCTGTCACTTACTTAGGCCTATGCATTTAAAGATGGGTTCCCTTATTTTCATTTATGAAATACTTATATGAATAGCAAGTAGAGGTGTTCTAATGACTTGGAAAAATACCAGTTTGTCCATAATTAATTCATAATTAGCTAAATCATTAGAGAATTCCAGCAGAATTCCAATGAGTGACCGATCAAGAAAGGTCCAAAAGGGTTTTTTTGTTTATCCAGACTGTACTTAAATGGACATTTATGATTGATTAAAACTTTTAATTATATGCAATAAGAACATAATGATGTGATTAAGAATATATGAAATATGAATATATCAAATAGTTTGCTTAATTTGACAATAAAAAATAAGGAAACCCATCTTTAATGCAAGTGTTCACCAATGATACATTTTATTATTAGTTTGAATACATATCTTACGAAGATTTTGATTTCATTGACTTGGTTTACAAATACTCGTAGTCCTGAATGATCAGTCTCTGATATTTGAATTACCAGAATCACGTGATCACGTGATCACGTGACAATACTGACATAGTCCCGGTAAACAATGGTCGCCATTCATTACGGTGATCTGTTGCAGAGCGATTAGCGTAACTTTCACGTCAGGCCGTTTGACTTGATGTTTAATAGTGTTATTTTGAAGGAAAAGAATAAATAATTATTTACTATTAGCTGTATTGCTTACTTTGTGGAAATGAATTAAGTCCATTAGCCTTTGATAGGCGATATTAAATACTTAAAACCACTTTTTAATAGACTCGTAAAAACATACAGAGTAAATAGTGGGCGATTGATAATCCATATACATGTACCTATTAGTATACATTCAATAGACCCCATCCTAAGCTTCGATATATTCTTTAAATAAAACATTCTGTTTTTTTCTCTTTGAATGACGGCTTCTTAAAGGGGCAGTATGCAAAATTGTCATTATCAAAAGCGTGGTGAATAATACCTGAAAATACTTCTAAAGTATGCTATTTATATCTATGTATACAATATGTATACAAATTAATGGCTGAATTTTTTTGTTAGATTTTTCAGATACGTTAAAGGACACATTACTGTAGATTTTAATATATAGCTTTCACAAATTTGAGCAAACAAATTACTCGACCTACAAAAATCGGAATGCCCCTTTAACAATTCGGGTCTGTAACAGCGGATCTCTTCACATAGCTTCCCTTCAACTTGGCATCCCTTTCAGAGACCCCCTCCCCCCTCTCCGAGACCCCGAAAGGTTTTAATTCAAATGAAACATGATTACAGATGTCGGAAGAACAAATTGATAAAACCAGCAATCAATGACAATAAAATTGTGAATCGATTCCAACTTATCACGACATAATATCAATCACAACCTTGAATCAATCATCATTTTTTCTACAATTTGGCAGGTATTGCACGAAACAAACAGTGATTTGCAGTTAATGAAGAGAACAAATACTATCGATTGGGACGAGAATTTGTAATTATTGAGATACATTATAGAAATTTCAGTCTCGTATAGATATATACCTGGCTATTGTATAACTTAAGTGGATTTTGATGAGATTAGCTATGGAATGATTCAATACTAAAAACCATTTATTTAATGAATATTGAAGTTGAATATTGTTTGTTTCTGTGACTGTAATGGACTCCGAGAACCAAACCAGTATTTATTCTCTGGGTAGAGTCGGTGCAATCATTTTCAAGTTTTATCTCCGTTCGGATCGACCAAATAGTTTTATTGTAACAGGATGAGGTAGTATTCATAACAGAGAAGGTTTGTGTTTTAATTTTACGCATGATTTCTTTGTTTGGGTTTCTGGTACGCTTGTTTTTTAGTAACAGAAACTTTACATGATTTTATGATTAACAGAAACATTTCATGATTTTCTGAATAACAGAAACATTTCAGGATTTTCTGATCAAAAACATTACATGATTTTCTGGTTCGCTGTTTTAAAATTGAATTATTTCATGATTTCCTGAATAACAGAAACATTTCATGATTTTCTGAATAACAGAAACATTTCATGATTTCTGAATAGCGGAAACACTTCATGATTTTCTGAATAACAGAAACAATTCATGATTTCTGAATAACGGAAACGCTTCATGATTTTCTGGTACGCTGTTGTTTTAAAATAGAATTATTTCATGATTTTCTGAATAACAGAAACATGATTTTTAGAATAACAGAAACATTTCATGATTTTCTGGTACGCTAGTTGTTATATCAACAGAAATATTTGACGATTGTGTATATATACAGGCCGTTGTTTTGATAACAGAAAACATTTCATGATTTTCTGAAACGCTAGTTGTATTGATAACAAAACATTTCATGATTTTCTGAAAAGCTAGTTGTATTGATAACAAAACATTTCATGATTTTCTGAAACGCTAGTTGTATTGATAACAAAACATTTCATGATTTTCTGAAACGCTAGTTGTATTGATAACAAAACATTTCATCATTTTCTGAAACGCTAGTTGTATTGATAACAAAACATTTCATCATTTTCCGGTACGCCGTTGCTTTAATAACAGAAAACATTTCTTGATTTTCTGGTACGCTATTTGTTTTAATAACAAAAATATTTTATGATTTTTTTGGTATGTTCGGTTTGTTTGATAATAAAAAATCAATAATTGACTTTGAAGTTTCATATTTTTTTTAGTTTTCAAACAGATTTTTTAACTGCCAATGTGTAAATGCAGATCAGTGGGTATTCTGATGACCTAACAGTAAATCATAAGAATCAAAATGCCAGTTACCAAACTTTCTGGGTTCTTGGTATTGTTGGTATCGTGTACGTATAAAGGTAAGAGATTTTTTGTGTGATTTTAATGTACAGGTTCGCCATCCGTTTGACTAATCATATACCTAGTCTCAGAAACGGGATCTTTTTTAGGTAAGTTTCTCAGTAATAGTGTTCACAGATCACCGTCGAAATTTGAGCCTTGTGTCTCAAACGCGCAACTATGACTATCGAATTCAGGCTCGACAGTTGTTCCCCAATGCCGTTAAAGTACACATAGAAAGTACATTCTATCGATTTACTGTAATGGAAGTAAATATTGAGAATCCATGTAATACCATTTAGAATAATTAAAATATATTCGGTTAATATGATAAATTATTCAGCTGGAATAAGAGACAAGGCATAATGATGTTGAAGTCCTAACAATGGCCATGTTGACATCAGAGATTGAAGGTTGAAAAGGTTTAGTGACCAATTGCTTTTATAGAATCTCGTTCAATACCATCAATAACTCGAACCCAAATATAAACAAATAAAGATATAATGAGCAACAAAAAAGGATACACTGAACTGTGAAAGGGTTTTCTAAACTTTGGCAAGCCCAGTGCGGCTGACGTACTGGTGTCGGTGATGTTTAATTTACTCACCATTAACGAGATGGTACGTCGCAAGCTTCCCTAGACTGGGGAAACAAATGGAGGACAGACTGACTCAATGGGGGTGGGGGGCAACTGTCTAGGCTGAATTCAGGAGGGAGCCAGCACTGTGGATGCGTCTTGTCTCAAGCCTCTTCTGGAGCGTATGAAAGGGTTCTTCCAAGAATTTTTTCGAAAAATTTAATTGAATTTTCGCATTCTGACACTTATTTTGGGGCAAAAACGTATTAAAAATCAAATTTTCTATTTTGTAAAAAATAATGTAGGGGAACAATATTGGAACTGCAACCAATGAGCAAGATTCACAACTAGATAGCAATATTGTTTTTACAGGAACTCTGGGTTTTACAATCGGCAATGAAACAGCTCTGAGGAATTCCATATTCGAAGAGAAAAGGTATGATGTCAATGTTCGCCCAAATTCTCACGTACTGGTATCAGTGATGTTTAATTTACTCGCCATTAACGAGCTGGTGAGTCTGAAAAATCTCTTCCCTTGCCATGGTAAAATCCTAAAATTGTTTCATGCGATCGCACTTGACACCCAGGAAAATATTTAGGCTAAAGCCGCTGTTATTACAACAATACCTTTACGCTATGCATCGTTTCTATCTTCATTTACCGAAATCGAGATCAGAGTACTGGATAGAGCTCGATTGGAGAGTTCTGAACAGGTTCCATCTGTTCCAATTCTGCCCCAATCGAACGGTACGGAAACGGAATATGTCACATTCAAAACTTCACTTTCTTTTAGAATATTCGAGAACAGAAATTTTCAGTCAGTGGCTGGTTTACTATGGTGAGTAGAATTTAGTCACTTGAGACCATGTTATTTAGCACCCTAGGTCAGTGCTTCTTTAAGAGAGTATCTCTTATAAAACCTTATGTTACCGAGGCGAGGCCGCCAGAGGTCTGCCAGAGGTTACAAGAAGCCGACCGATTTCAATTGGTATGAAATGAATTTTGAGCATTTAGAGGGTTTAATTTTCACGGGCCTGAGGGGAGGACAATGATTCCCTTCCCCCGAAAATACACCACTGTCGCACAGGACCCCCATTTAGATATTCTATAGTTTCTTCATTAGCCCAAAACGAAGCTGAAAAGGGACTTTAAAACTACACTTCATTATAGAGAAAGTATGAAAGTATCTCACTCTCTCTCTGTTTCTCAGCTTTCTGAATAAATATGACAGCCACATCGTCGGCTGATCTTGAAAATTTATAAATAGCAAGAACACCACCTATAATCATATCCATGAGATGGTATTGCTTCTCCTTTTAGAGATGGACAGATCGACGTTTAGCTTGGAATACTTCAGAATACGGTGATGTCCAGTTTTTATTTGCGACCCAAACTGACGTGTGGAAACCCGCTTTGGTCATCAGCAACTCGTAAGTACATGTAGATTCTTTCTCATTTGGAACATCTTCCTGACAACAGTGGATTTGACGCTGTTCCTATAATATTGGTTGTATCAACGGCCGAATTTCCTCGAGCTATACAGAACCACAGAAAATTGTGATAGCTCCATTGCTGATGGACCATGATCCGACACATCTACCACAGATACGCGGCTTGCGTATACCTGCAGGGCCTGTGAAGGCGACAGCCTCCCGAGACGGGGTACAAGTTTTGGGCAAATACAAATCTACAAATACAAATCTAGCTCAACATATGTTCAAATGCAAAACGTCAAACACAAAACACTACCAACACAATCATGTTCATATACAAATGTTCAATAACAATTCTCGCTCAACAAATCTCCAAATTTCTCCAAATATATGTCGAATATATCTGAAGGTCATGATTATCAACGTGCTCAACTACGACGACATTGTTCTAGATGAGCAAATACCCCCCATGTCGCCATTGGGTGAAGCATGTTGGTATATCGCCGTCCTCTGTTTATTTCATTATTCATATTTACAATTTCAGAATTGATGACTTTGAAGTAATACGAGATTTGTACGCTCCTCTCAGGATCGACTCAAAAGGTACGCTGGTATGGGAACCACCCGGTATTTATCAGGTCAACTGTCAGGCGGATATCAAATTCTACCCCTTTGACGAACAGGAGTGCCACATCACCCTACAGAGCTGGGGGTATAACTTAATAGAGGTCAACCTAACGGCACTTTATAATGGAATCAGCTTCCGGGAATTCAAACCAAACGGAGAGTGGAACCTGGAAGACAATCGAACAGAAAGTCTTACTGCAGTCGATGCCAAGGGGGATTCCAATGGCCGCTTGATCTTCTTTTTCAAGCTGACCAGAAAATCCCAATATTATTGGCTGAATGTGCTGTTGCCAGTTATCGTTAACTCGGTATTAACAGCTCTGGTGTTTGCTCTACCAGCAGAATCTGGTGAAAAGATGGGGTATTCGTTAACAGTGCTGTTATCTTTCGCTGTCTTACTGACTCTGATTGCAGACAAGATTCCCTCAACATCTCTTACAACTCCTGTAATAGGTAAGTCAAATTCTGATCTTATCGCAATGAATTAAAATTCCTGTCTATATCTCGGTTTCCTGCCATTCCAGATCAACTTGGCTAGATTATGACATAATTGACGCAAATACCATTTAAGCTAAGGCTTTCTGAATTCCTTGCTTTAATGAATAATGTCTTTTTTATTTTGTATCGGGCCCATACCCTTCAGTGGCTCAACAAGATTTGGGATGGGGGAGGCGAGGACATAAGTAGATTTGGGGCCCTTCCCAAGGGAATTTTTTTCTCAACATATAATCTCCTGCATTCAAGGACCCGTCTGTAAGTCAATTTAATACCTTTTATTGGAAGATTTAAAGATTTTCAGTATGTAGTTTAATGCTATTTCATTCATTTATATATTATGTACATTTTCTGGCGTAGGAGGGGGAGGGGGTGGGGGTTCGTGTGATAGTTGAGCTACTGATGCCTTCTATTTTTTTTATTTTTTGATGATACGGAATTCTCTTATTTACAGTTGTGTATTTCTCGATCGTGTTGGTGATGGGGGCTCTGGCAGTACTACTCAGTACATTTGTCCTGGACCTCTACTTCATGGACGAGACGCAACCCATTTCAAACTGGCTAATGATGCTGTTTAGAGACATCCTCGGTCGTATGGTGTGTTACAAAGGCTGTCGCAGTCCATGTCGATCCGGTACAGACGTCCATCCGACGCAATTAACGGATCTACAAGAGAAGAAATCCACAGAAAGGAAATCATCCACTATTAAACGGGAAACCTTCAAAAGAGAATCGTCGCTACATCACCTCGGTATTAACCGTAAGGATGATCTAACGTGGAAGGACATTGCTAATATTCTCGATATAATTTTCTTTAGAATGTATTGTTTCATTATTGTTACTGTTACTGTTGGTTTTCTCACTGCAGCTTACAATCATATTGGTTAACGTTTACTCTCATTTCAATATGGCCGCTTAAATTTCAATATGGCCGCTTAAATTTCAATATGGCTGTTTAAAGTACAAAAATGGCTGTGCAATATGGCCAGTAAAATTCCAATGTGGCTGCTAAAATTCAGTATGGCTGTTAAAATTCAATATGGTCGCTAAAACTTCAATATGGCTGCTAAAATTCAATATGGTCGCTAAAATTTTAATATGGCTGCTAAAATTCAATATGGCCGCTAAAATTACAAGATGTGGCTCATAATCGTATTGGTTAACTTTTATTCTCATTTCAATATGGCCGCTAAATACAATATAATTGCTAAAATTCCATTATGGCCGCTAAAATTCAATATGGCCGCTAAAATTACAAGATGTTCGCTTAAATCCAATTATTGCCTTTTCAATTTGAATGGAGTTTTACGTCCTACTCTCCTAAATCTAATTGGGCTCATGAAGACGGGCAACGCCATGCAGTGTGCAATGATGGAAATTTTGCGAGGTCAGTGACATTAGCCTACTGTTTTTCGATTTCCAACTGCCGAGGTATCTTTAACGTGCACAGCCTACAGCAGACGGAACCTCCGTTTTTAAATAAGCTTAGAATTCCACCCATAACAAAATATTCATGGCAAGTTTCTTAGTTTTGTTTTCTGGATTTAAGTGGTAAATTGGTTTCAAATGATTTTTTTTTAAATCCTAAAACATTTTATAACAATTTTGTTTGATCAATCATATTAGTCTATGTACATAGTACGGTATATGTTTTTATTATTGTTAGTGGCCAGGGAAATTGACCATTAAAATTAATGGCCAGTAATGGTCAGTAAGTATCAAAATGGACCTTCGATTAATAAAACAATAAAGATGGAATAAAAGAAATATATGGACGATATATTCGAACACATCATGACGTCAAGAAATGGGATTAATGTGACAAACTATGGGTCTATCTGTAAACTGTCCACTTGTCTAGTGTTTTATCATGGACAAACCAAGACAAATCTTGATTAAAAGTTAAAAATGCTCATGCCCTTGATTGTTCGGAGGGGCAAGTTACATATTCGGAGGGGTAATGGTGCATGGTTTAGTTGTAATCCAAGCATGCGGATGATCCATTTGAAAGGGAAATGAATCTAATTGCATGATGACACTCTGTCTTGCAGACGTAGAAAAAAATCGGCGACAAATATCGAACTGGTTTGATATCATAAAACTGGTGCCGGCAACGCAATAATCTTGTCGTGGAAGGAAGAGCGGGTACACGTGAGGTTTTATTCAAGATTCGAGTCAGCGACAAAAATCATCGACCAAGACTGTCCGTGTGCCCGCACCATAAGGTGACATCTATTTATTGATATGGCGTGTGGTTCAAACAACGATGATGTCCGATAAAGTGAGTGGACGAACCATGTTTCATGGTTTCAGGTACCAGTCTCTATCATCTAGTCCATCTTTGTTTGCGCATATCGCTGAAAATATAATTCTACTTTCGCTTTCAAAATTGCGATAAAAGTATTCTGCGGCTTCCCACATTAGAAATATTTCCTGGGAGAGGTCATCCTGACCCTTCACTATGATTAGTGCCATCAAAACTCTGCAAAGAGTCCCATGGTCGCTCGGATCCCCGCCACACCCCCACGCGCGTTCAATGACACGCTGCTTACGTTACTGGGTGTAAATGCCAAGTAAGTGAAGTTAAATCGAATTCCAGGGAGCGAGGTAACATTGTCTGGTCATTTCTGAATATCTCTACAGTGATTGGTAAATAAAACAAATTAACTAGTACAGTTACTAATTACACTGATCTATTGTGTTTTGTTGATATAAATAAAACCTAGAATATTAATACAGAATACAACATGAAAATACAATTACGAGATTTATTATCTAAAACTATATTTACAATCTTTTATTACGGTTGAAAAGACTGGTTTGAAAGGACTATAGATTAATCAGCTGATTGTTTGCTGAATGGTTTTGATTTTTTAAAGGGATTTTAGAGATGCTGCCTGGTGGTGTTTTGGACTTTGAACTCTTTTGTATCCATTTTCCTTAAAGGGTCAGATTCGCCGATTGTTTGACCAATCTTGATAAACATTCGCCATCTCCAGGGGATGATTTGAGTCTTGAAAATATGTAAACAATCTTCAGAAAGTCTAGAAATGTACGAAAATCATATAATTCCTTCCTAAATACCTCAAACTAGGAATTGCTCTTTCTATTTCCATATAAATGTATGTCTTTTCTATGACAAAGTATCAAGAAAAGGCGAGTCGTCTTTTGAACTGTCTAACGCGGATAATTCTGGACACAAATTTAGTGGATTTGAAGGCTCAAATTTCAACGGTGAGCTGTCAACACTATTACTGATTATGTAAGCTAAAAAATACTCGTTCTGAGACTAGGGTTTAATTGGTCAAACGGATCGCGGTACTGTCCCTTTAATAACAAGATGAATAACTCCATTGTTTATATCTTTATTCATTCTTTTATCTTTTTATTCACAAATTGAATACAGAGAACTGACAAAAGCGGCCCATGAATCCATGAAGGAGTATTGTCTGAAATCACGCTATATTAAATAACGTGGTTTTATTATAAACTGAATAATAAATTCACAAAATACGTCATGATTACAGTCAATTTTTACAACCACCCATAAAAGGGGCATTCCGTTTTTTTTATGAAGGTAGAAAATATTTTTGCTCAAATTTGTGAAAACCACACATCAATATCTAGAGAAATGTGTCCCTAAATGTATCTGAAAGTTTTATTTTTAAAAAAATCAGCCGTTATTTTTTTTTAAGCCAAAACTATCTAAAAAGTTAACGTAAACTTTTTAAGATCGTTATGTTTTTTGGAAGCTGTTAGAAAACTACTGAATGGATTAAAGTAAAATAAACGCCTACTTGTAGAGACATATGTCTCCTACGTATTCTTAAGATTTCAAAAACACCAAAACTAGGTCAAATTGCTTAATTAACAATTAGTACTCTCCGTTTTTAATTAACCCTTTTAAAACAAATTCAGTTTGATTAAGACATAGATATAAATAGCATGCTTATAATTCACGACGAAAAATTCGCATTACTGCGTCTTTAATATTTATTTTCATACATGACAATGAAACGGTAGGGTGGGACACTAAGTGTATTAGTATGATTATGACATGGAAGATATGATGAATATAAAATGAATCATACAAAGATTTGTAAAAGCTGTAATAGACTCAGCTAGTGGAATAATGGTCGTTTAAAATGATATAGTTATGAGGTAGTGTTATTCTTAAAATTTTTAAAAATGTGGGAAAATATATTATCCGTTTCTAAAGGGATTGTATAGTGTTTCTCTAAATTGTTTATTGGGGATACTGATAGCATCAATTTGCACCATTCCAATTTTCAATCAGACGTCTGTGGTTCCTGTAATTCCACTTAAACTAAGTGTTTGATGACGTCACCAATAGACAAATATGCTTATAACATGAGACCCTTCGCTATTGGTGACATTGTCAAACAAATTGGTGCTATCAGAGTTTATTCAAAAAATCCAAATTGTTGTTTAAAAGATCGCAAGTGGTCGCAGTCCGATATGACAGGGCTATGACAGATAGATCTAGATGACTAAATCTAACTAACTAAGGCATTTGGTGGTAATATTATATATTTTCGTCATACCGGACTGCGACCACTTGAGATCTTTTAGCGACATCAAATGTACTAGGCCGCGGTCAAACGTAAGGAAAGCGCAAGAAAAGTCCCATAAAATTACAAATTATACAACAGTCGCACTCAACTCCTACATATGCAACCATTTGCGTTCCAAATGCACATCTCTATCAAAATCTATTTGCTTGGTGAATTTTACTTGTATTGCGTTCATGTAGATGTCATGACATTCTGTTTCAGTGGCGATCTCTGTTGCGATTATTGGCCTCATTAACGCCCAGAGTACTATATCTGACGCTAATACAACGCTTATAGCGTAGCAGCTCAGTAAGAACGCCTTTCCGGTGTGACAGGATTACAACAGGTAAACTAATATGATTTTATGTTGTTTACCAAGAAATTGGCGTCAAATCAACCCTATCTAAACGATTACAATAGACTAACCTCTATAGAATAATCACTAGGCAATGAGTTCATACACTACAAATATCCAGAACCAGCCAACCGTTAACCGTTTATTTTTAATCCGTTAATCCAATAGATTAGGATTATCCTATCAAGATCATGTCACGACCGAAAGTTGGTAAAAGAGGTCGATCGAAAACGTGACAATGTTTAAAGTAGAGACCGTGTCGTGTCGATTTACAATTTAGAAATATACAGAACGGTGATTTCGAAGGTCGAACTTTCGAACTGTGAAAGTAGGATAGCTCTGTCTCAGTGAGTTGGGATTGTCAAACAAAGTTTCGTAGGATTGACCCCGTCAAGGTAATAGCCCGTCTTTATCAAATTGAGAAGAACAAAATAGTATAATTTTAATTTAATTAAAGGGACAGATCCGCAATTTTCGGGTCTTGAGTTATGTAAATAGTCTTCAGAAGCACTAGAAATGAACGAAAATCCACCAAAAGAAAACCCATGTAACTAGGAATTTCTCTTTATATTTCTATATACATGTATGTCTTTTCTATATATGGCAGAGTCTCCAGAAAAGACGAGTCGTCATTTTAACTTTCTAACGCGGATAATTCTGGACACACATGGATTAACTGGCTCAATTTTCAACGGTGAGCTGTGAACACTATTACTGATTAGCATAGCTAAAAATTCCCATTTTTGAGACTAAGGTACAATTGTTCAAACGCATGGCGAATCTATCCCTTTAAATGTTCCTTAAGATAATTATATTTTAAACTAACAATAATAACAATGCGTTTGCTCCCCATAGAAAGTACAGTGTGTATTGTGAAGAGGGGTTCAGCAAAACAGAATGACGAACCGGAATACTATAGGAGCTGTGTTGATACTAATAGCGTCGTTTTATGGTAAGTTGAACGTTATTTGTATATTGCCGAATGTTAAACGCACATTTGCATAGCGTGCTTAATCTGAAAATGATCAAATAAGTTGTACTTCGTTTTGTCTGGTATCTTATTGCGCTTGAGAACATCTCCATGTACTGGAACATTTCAGGCTGACATGTAATTCCATGCAGCGTTTCATCAAATGTATTGTATAAGAACCTTATTGAACCATAGACAAGAAGTGATATGACGTTTTACGTTTTACAAATGACATTCTATTTTACGTCTTAACATATCAATACAGGTTACGCCTTTATCCTGTTACCATTCGATTATGGCTACATCAGGAGTTTTCAACTAAGGGGTAATCGAGGGGTTAAAAAGTTTTGGATAGTAATGAGACGCTTCATTGTCTAACATAAACTTTTTGACCAACTATAATGCAAATCGTTTCATTCAGTCAGGCTATATTGTCCGACATGAAAAAAAATGCACAGGAATTCACGAAATAGTGAGAGTTAACATCGGGGAAGGGGAGTAATAGTAAGGATTTACAGGGGGAAGGGGGCTAATAGTAAGGATTTATAGCGAGAGAAGGGGTAATAAAAAGAATTTACAAGGGGAAGGGGGCTAATAGTACGGATTTATGGGGGGAGAAGGGGTAATATAAAGAATTTACAAGGGGAAGGGGGCTAATAGTAAGGATTTAAAGAGGGAGAAGGGGTAATAGTAAGGATGTATAGGGGGAGATGGGGTGATAGTAAGGATTTATGGGGGAGAAGAGGTAATAAAAACGATTTACAGTGGAGAGAGGGTAATAGTAACGACTTATAGGGGAAGGGGGTAATAGTAAGGATTTATAGAGGGAATAGGGTAATAAAAATAATTTACAAGGGGAAGGGGGTTATATTAAGGATTTATAGGGGAAAGGGTGTAATAGTAAGGATTTATAGAGGGAATAGGGTAATAATAGGAATTTACAGGGGGAAGAGCGGTAATAGTAAGGATTTATAGGTGGAAGTGTGTAATAGTAAGGATTTATAGGGGGGGGGTATAATAGTAAGGATTTATAGGGGGAAGGGTGTAAAAGTAAGGATTTATAGGGGGAAGGGTGTAATAGTAAGGATTTATAGGGAAGGGGTGTTTAAGCGGTCTTAGAAAGAAAATGTAAAATAAATCAGTAATGTAAAATGTAAAGGAATCTATTATTCATCAATATTGGACCTTATTTGATTTTCTGTAATCATGTCGTAACATAATTTAATGAGAGGTTAAGTAATAGAACCCTTTGTTCATTAACCATAACGTGACAATGGCACGAATCGAACTTCGTAAAGATAACTAATTTTACAACTTTCAATTATTGAAAAATCTATCTTGGTCGATAATTTGACTGATCTAGAGAACCAATCTTCGATAGTTTCTCGTAGCGTGGGTTTTAACTTGAGTGCGTGAACGTCTTAGGCGCGATTACGTATGACTTTCACAATATGGCGTATGGCGAAGTCGTGCTATTGAAAGTAAATGTTTGTAATCCTCCAGAAATATCATTGGAATCGGATAGATTTATCGCCATATTACAATTTCATGCATTTTTAATTGACTTCTCTACCAATGCACGTGCAAACTAAGTATTGACCTAGTAGCGATAATAAAGTGTTATAAAGTTAACTATGGATAGAATATATCGGATTCTTTTCTGCTTCTATTGGAATTGTATTTTATTTACAGGCGCTACGTGTTTTTCTATCAATAACGAGGCTTTATTAAGAACTCAACTGTTCACCAATAATAGTTATGATGTAAATGTCCGGCCCGAAAGTTTAGTGCGAGTTATTGCGACATTGAATCTGATGACCATCAATGAATTGGTACGTTATATATTTTATAATACTATTATATTGTCATAAGGTTTTCTATTTTTTATTCACTATTCAATCAGACGTCTGTGGTTTCTGTGAGGGGGATTTTTAGTCCTAAAAGTAGATCATTTTTACGTTAATTTCTAGGAGGAAAGTGTGTCTATTTCAGATGTTAAATCACTGAACATTATATTTCCATGGACTCTTACACATTCAAAGACAAATGGCATACAGTTGAAAATTTTATTTTGAATATTTATGAAATGAGAGAAAAATTCAATTCGAAGCTCAATATAGTCAGACAGTAGTTCTAGACCTGTATCTGAAATTCGCAGTTGAAATGTGTTTAAATCAGTTTTAGTGCGTCAAATATCACTTGTATATATTTTGTAGAATATCAAAGATCAGTCATTTAAAGTCAGCGGTTGGCTCACTTTGGTAAGTAGCTTTATACAATCATACTAATCAGAAGCGTATTTAGGGGTTGGGGACAGTGGCAGAGAGGGTAACTGTGCCCCCCCCCCCCCTCCCCTTGCAGCACCGAAAGCAAGTTTTTTGGGCCAAAATCTCATAACTAGGTTAGAAATTCGGACAATCTCAAATAACTATTCAGCCATTACAATGATTTAGAACTCTCTTGCGAGGAGTTCCCTTAAGGGGAGATAATCTATAAGATTCAGACAACGATGAGCACCAAAATAAACCCGACTTGTTTTCATTGGACAGTATTGGAGAGATCCCAGATTAGCTTGGACCAGAGAAGACTATGGTAATATAGGTTTTATCTTCGCAACAGAATCGGATGTATGGAGACCAGCCTTAATTGTCGCCAACTCGTAAGTTACGTTTTCCTATTTTTCAACTTTCTTTAAATGGACAGATTCGCCATTATGAGGGGTTGATTTGAATCTTGAATATATGTAAATAGTCTTCAGAAGTACTAGTAATGTACACAAATCGCATAATTGCTTTAGAATTGGTCAAAAGGATGACAAATCTGTCCCTTGAAGATGCAACTTTGTTTTCCTGGGGTCGTTCCTCATCATGCAGAATCCCTCAATAGATTAAAATTCAATACTTCATTGATAAAACCAACGATCATGGCTGCCTCTAAGACCAAAATGTCTGATCAATGGCCCAACTAGATGATGAGTGGGGCCCCTCCCAACTTCCCTCCCACAACGGATGACGGCTTATATATTTATTCATTTCTATTGTTTTATGTTTCCAGAGTCGACAACCTCGGAATAATCCAAGATGCCTACACCCCATTTCGTATCACCAGTCAGGGCGGCATCGTGTGGGAACCTCCAGGTATCTACGAGGTTCACTGTGTAGCTGATATCAGTTATTATCCGTTTGATGAACAAGAATGTCATATCGTGGTCTCGAGCTGGGGGTATAACTTGCTGGAGGTTAATGTTACATACACTGGTAAGTCAACTAAAAACTTACAGTGGTTTAACTATCACGGGGACTGGTTGAACCAAGTTCACGAGCTCCGAACCCTAAGGGAACCTCCATCCAAAGAGAAAAAAAATGAAGGAGAGCATAGTTTAAATTTTCTGATTGGCTGGCGGAATCATCAAACTGACGAATGTTATAGAAGGCCGTGGACTAGTGAATGAAATGAATGGAGTTTTACGTCCTACTTTTCTACATATTGACTAACGAGTGGTATTAGGTATTAGTTTAAAAGGAGGCGGGTTTTTTTTCTTTCGGGTTATATTTTTGCTGACTATGATGCGCATTATACAACGGTGCGTATCATACTAAGAAATATACAAAATATAAGTAATATTGTCTTTTTGCAGGTTCTGGTATCAATCTGGATGAATTTAAAACAAATGGCGAATGGGACCTGACCGAGATAAAGACATTACGCGAAGACAACGTCGATTCTAAAGGGGACCAGTACGGACGAGTCAAATTCTTCTTTAAGCTGAAACGGAAGTCGGAATACTATTGGCTGAACGTGTTACTTCCGGTTATCATCAACTCTGTACTGACAGCTCTGGTGTTCGCTCTGCCAGCAGAATCTGGTGAAAAGATGGGATATTCGCTTACAGTGCTGTTATCTTTCGCTGTCTTACTGACTCTGATTGCAGACAAGATTCCTTCTACATCTATCAATACATCATTAATAGGTAAGTGATCTTTCTGGATTTTATTTTTGTTCCGGATGGGCAAGCTGCAGGTGAAAGTTTGCTATGAGTTAGAGATATTATCAAAATTGTAGCCTTCAATCTAATACTTTTGGTAGGGGCGTATCTAGAAAATGCTCCAGGAATGGGGCCAAAGATGAGAAGCGTCTCTCCTTGGCTTGGTCCGAAGAGCCAAATTTCTTTGAGACCAGAAATCCCCGAGGACGGATTTCAGATGCCAGAGATGACTTTTGAGCATTTAGAGGGCTTAATTTTCACTAAAATAAGACCTTTCACAGGCCTGAGGGGCGGGGGGTGGGGGGGGGGGGCATGGCTGCGCTACCGACCTTTTGGATTGTTACCATAAAGCATACCAATGATTTTATAACTTGTTAATCTTAGATCGAACCCTGTCTATTTCAGTGGTATATTTTTCCATCGTGCTGGTACTGGGAGCTCTGGCTGTTTTACTGTCAACTGTGGTCCTGGACATCTATTTTAACGATCCCGCAGACCCGATCCCGAACTGGGTTAAGAAATCGTTTCGTTTTCTGGGACGGATTTTGTGTTATGAGGGATGTCAAAAAAGAAAAAAGACCAACAGAATTAATGTGGTGGGGGAAATGACGACCAGGGACATGCCTTTAGAGTTTCAGATGAACGGGACCACAAAAACACCGTCCACTCCACCTCCGCAGACAATCAAGTCGGAACTGATGCATTCCATGGAGGTCAAACCGAATAGTAAACACTGGTATACTCGCAGTATTGAAGATGAGCTAACGTGGAAAGACATCTCGAGAATTCTAGACGCGTTTCTGCTGCGGTTTTATATCCTTACTATTACTTTAGTCACAGTAACTTTTGTTTTAGTAGCATTTTACAACGCTGGTTAGCTTTTTGGCGGTAGACATTTATGACATACGGTTGGATTTTTATGAAATACCGACGGGTTATTATGAAATACGGTTAGATTATTATGACATACGGACTGGATATTATGATAAACGGTTAGATTGTTATGACATACGGGCGAGTTATAATGTTAGATTATTATTAGTAGCATTAACACTGGGTTATCTTGGCGGTGGATATTTATGATACAGTTAGATTCTTATGGAATACGGACGGGTTATTATAAAATACGGTTATATTGTGAAATACGAAATGGTAATTATGAAATACGAACGAGTTATTATGATATACGGACAAAACGTTTATGAAATACAACCGAGTGATTGGTACACCTGTAATTAACTGTATGTTTTTATTGCAAGAGGAGATCGTGATACTAAAAAATAATTGTGCCAGATGATGTTCATATGTGAACCACTCTGGTATTTCGGAAAAAGTTTAAATGAATGTGGTTGGTCGGTCGTAGAAAGAGACTAGATTAAACTAATTGATGAAAGCACAAGAGTTTTTTCCGCCGTCAATTTGCCAATTTTACATGTAAACTTTATGCATTTGTAAATATACTAGATGTGCAGTGCTAGGTTCGCTACGACCTTTACGATAAAAACTTAAGGGCATTGTAAAGAGGTTTTCTAAATATTTTATGTATATCGGAGATACAGATAGCATCAATTTGCACCATTCCAATTCTGTCAGAAGTTTGTGGTTCCAGTAATTCCATAAAAATACGTCACTGATCGCGAAATGAGCTTTATCACATAAGGCCCTTTGCCTGTACAGGGTGAGTACATAAGTGGCTTTAGACTTAAGCCGTTACGAGTGTTTTTAGTGTTACCATTGACATTTGTCATATCAATTAATCATAATTTGTTATTCATCATATTTATTTATATTAATTGTTATCCGTACCAAATTACATTCGGTAACACTCGCTAATTTCTTAAAGGGACAGATTCGCTTTTTTGACCAATCGCACCTTAGTCTCAGAAAAGGGAATAATCTTCACAGCTCACAATCAGTAATAGTGTTCTCAGCTCACTGTCAAAATTTGAGCCTTCAAATACATGTGTGTCCAGAATAAATCCGAGTTTGAAATCTTAATGACGACTCTGTCATATATAGAAAATACATGTACACGTGTACAAATAGAAATAAATTTACAGTTTGAGATATTTTTAATGGAATTTTTTTTTTTACATTTCTGGTACTTCTGAAGACTACGTAATATATCCAATACCCAAATCAACCCCCGAAAATATCAAAGGCAAAGAACCTTTCAAATTGGACCTTTCGACCAAACCACTGTGAAGCTACCAGCATTGCAGCCATTAATTTGGCTCGTGCAAGTCAAATGGTATATGCGATAGTGACATAATAATCTCTTCATTAAAAGGAGTTTTACGTCATACCTTTCGACACCTCATTGGCCGAATACATGATAACCCCTGCTTTAACCAATCAAATTCCTTCACTCTCTCTCACAAAGAAGAGGAAAGAAATTTGATTGGTTAAAGAAGGGGGTCATCATGTTAGGTAAAAAGTTTATTTGGACGAATGATAAAAAGGCCCGTCTTCAGACCTTAACTGAAGTGGCTATATTAAAAATAAAAGCTAATAAAATACGAAAGTTAGACTGAAAGACACAAAGATAGGTAATAGAAAATTTAGAAAATTTTTCTTTATATCAAAAATGTTTGACAAAATCGGCACAGATTTTTAAATATAAAGTCACAACCAAAGAAATACGACATAAACAGCGATAAAATACATATATTCAACATAGATTAAATGAACAACAAAAACAACTCCAATATAAAATGTAGATAAAAACAATAAAAGTCACAAATAACACAAAATTATATTTACGCAAGACGCAGTTAAATGATATATGGAATTTTGCATCCTATTTTTCTGCTTAAAATTCGACTAATGCAGTGAAATGGTAGTTTTAGATGCAATCTTATGAAAACAAGATCACAGTTTCGTTTCGTTATTTATTCTTATTGGTCTCCATTGTAATCTAACGAGATTTATACCAAGGTCACGTACTAGTCACGTTTCAAGCTATTTATAGTAAAACCAACAAGCGCCACTCTCCCACCAATCAGGATCATTGTTACAAGCGAGTATTGACAGTTTTATGATGTCATTCAACATATCGCTCCACTTTGGGTTTCATTATGCGCTGTGATTGGTTGAAATGAACGTCAATAGTACGCGACCGTGGTAAAATCAATTAAAATTACAATGGAGATAAAAATAATGACAAAACAAAATTGTAATCTAATTTGAACTTTTTTGTTTTATATGGTACTTTACCTCATTGGACTAATGAAATGAAACAAGAGTTTTTCATTCTACTATTGGGTACCCTATCAGTCTAATATAATGAAGTTTTTTTTCTATACCGGTTAACTAAGAAATGGAATAGATTGGAATGATATGGAGTATTACGTTCTACTAAATAAATACAGGGTATTCAAGAAGAGAGCTAAACCGTAAAATCACTTATTAAAATATATGTAAGGTACAAATTTGCAATATAAAATACATACAAGTGATAGTATACTTTGGGCATTGTTTTACAATATATTTCAATTTAAAGATGGGTTTCCTTATTTTTTAGTGTCAAATTAAGCAAACTATTTGATTAATTGATGTTTGAAATGAATTATCATGTATTCTTAATCATATCACTATGTTCTTATTGCATATAATTAGGAAGTTTGACCAATCTTAAGACCTTTTGACTTTTCTTGATCATTCACTCATTGGAATTCTGCTGTTAATTCTCTTCTAACTTAACTAATTATGAATTAATTATGGACATGTGAGGCAAACTGGTATTTTTTAAAGTCACTAGAACACCTCTATTTACTATCCATTTAAGTATTAGCATATTCATTTTCATAAACGAAAATAAGGGAACCCATCTTTAAAGGGATTGTTAAGAGGCTTTCTATAATATTTATGTGTATCGTGGACACTGATAGCACCAATTTGCACCATTCTAATTTCAATCAGACGTCTATGGTTCCTGCAATTCCATTAAAACTAAGTGTTTGATGACGTTGTCACTTATCGCACAGGCCTTTGGTGATACATTTTTTAAAATTGCAGGAACCACAGACGACAGATTGAAAATTGGAGTGGTGCAGTTTGATGCAATAAGTGTCCCTGATACACATATTTTTTTTTTAGGAAACCTCTTTATATTCCCTTTAATCTTGAGTAGATTAAAACACTATAGTTACATAAAACAGTACATCGGCATAAAATACAAGCAAATGCATCTGAATAATCAAAGTAAAAAAATGCAAAATAAGTTAATAAGAAAAAATGTAATAAAATACCAAAATACGGTTAGAATTAGACTAAGAGACAAAAAAGATTTCCGTTGTCAACAGCTGGTCCTTCAGCAGGTTGTTGATATAGACTATCGTTGTAAGGCTTTAAACATAGTGTTGTTGACCTCTGTGCAGAGCGTTGTAAGCGTTTTAACGTACTGTTGTTGGCCTTTGAACGTAGTGTTGTAAGCCCTTTAACGTAGTGATGTTAGACTTTGAAAATGGGTTTGCTTTTGAGCATAGTGTTGGTAGCCTTTGAGAAGAGCATAGTTAAATAGAGCGTTGTTAAACTTTTAACGTACTGTTGTTGGCCTTTTAACATACTGTTGTTGGCCTTTTAATATACTGTTTTTAGCCTTTTAACATACTGTTGTTAGCCTTTTAATATACTGTTTTTAGCCTTTTAACATACTGTTGTTTGCCTTTTAATATACTGTTTTTAGCTTTTTAACATACTGTTGTTAGCCTTTTAACATACTGTTGTTGGCCTTTTAACATACTGTTGTTATCCTTTTAATATACTGTTTTTAGCCTTTTAACATACTGTTGTTAGCCTTTTAACATACTGTTGTTGGCCTTTTAACATACTGTTGTTAGCCTTTTAATATACTGTTTTTAGCCTTTTAACATACTGTTGTTAGCCTTTTAACATACTGTTGTTAGCCTATGAACATACAGTTGTTGGCCTTTTAACATACTGTTGTTAGCCTATGAACATACAGTTGTTGGCCTTTTAACATACTGTTGTT